TTCAGCATGTTAGAAAACAGGACAGGATCCATGCAAGAACAAACATGGTGAAAATTGCATTGTGCAAGTTGTTTGCTGGTATTCTGTGTGGTTGCGTGGTGCTGCTGGTGGTGTTGGTGGTGTTGGTGGTGTTGGTGGTGTTGGTGGTGAAGCGAGTGGTGAAACCATCCAAACATATCCATATTCTAATTGCACTTTTCATCACCAGAATTCACAAAGAGTTCAATCAAGTTTCACCCTACCAACCAACCTCGGGAAAGCCTCGCCAACATAACCCACTGTACGTGTTTCTTTCAGCATGTTAGAAAACAGGACAGGATCCATGCAAGAACAAACATGGTGAAAATTGCATTGTGCAAGTTGTTTGCTGGTATTCTGTGTGGTTGCGTGGTGCTGCTGGTGTTGGTGGTGAAGTGAGTGAAGAAACCATCCAAACATATTTATATTCTAACTGCGCTTTCCACCAACAGATTTAACAAAGAGTTCAAACAAGTTTTACCGTACCAACCAACCTCGGGAAAAAGCCTTGGCCAACATAATCTACTCCTGTTTCTTTCACCAACAGATTTAACAAAGAGTTCAAACAAGTTTTACCGTACCAACCAACCTCGGGAAAAAGCCTTGGCCAACATAATCTACTGTACCTGTTTCTTTCAGCATGTTGTAAACCAGAACAGAACCCATGCAAGAACAAACATGGGGAAAATTTCATTGCACAAGTTGTTGTTGGTATTCTGTGTGGTTGCGTGGTGCTGCTGGTGGTGTTGGTGGTGTTGGTGGTGAAGCGAGTGGTGAAACCATCCAAACATATCCATATTCTAATTGCACTTTTCATCACCAGAATTCACAAAGAGTTCAATCAAGCTTCACCCTACCAACCAACCTCGGGAAAGCCTTCGCCAACATAACACCACTGTACGTGTTTCTTTCAGCATGTTAGAAAACAGGACAGGATCCATGCAAGAACAAACATGGTGAAAATTGCATTGTGCAAGTTGTTTGCTGGTATTCTGTGTGGTTACGTGGTGCTGCTGGTGTTGGTGGTGAAGTGAGTGAAGAAACCATCCAAATATATTTATATTCTAACTGCGCTTTCCACCACCAGATTTAACAAAGAGTTCAAACAAGTTTTACCGTACCAACCAACCTCGGGAAAAAGCCTTGGCCAACATAATCTACTGTACCTGTTTCTTTCAGCATGTTGTAAACCAGAACAGAACCCATGCAAGAACAAACATAATGAAAATTGCATTGTGCAAGTTGTTGCTGGTATTCTGTGTGGTTGCGTGGTGCTGCTGGTGTTGGTGGTGAAGTGAGTGAAGAAACCATCCAAACATATTTATATTCTAACTGCGCTTTCCACCAACAGATTTAACAAAGAGTTCAAACAAGTTTTACCGTACCAACCAACCTCGGGAAAAAGCCTTGGCCAACATAATCCACTGTACCTGTTTCTTTCAGCATGTTGCAACCCAGAACAGAACCCATGCAAGAACAAACATGGGGAAAATTTCATTGCACAAGTTGTTGTTGGTATTCTGTGTGGTTGCGTTGTGTGGTGCGTGTTGGTGGTGTTGGTGGTGAAGTGAGTGAAGAAACCATCCAAACATATCTATTCTAACTGCGCTTTCCACAACAGATTTACAAAGAGTTCAAACAAGTTTTCCCTACCAACCAACCTCGGGAAAGCCTTTGCCAACATAATCCACTGTACGTGTTTCTTTCAGCATTGTTAGAAAACAGTGACAGGCACTCCATGCAAGAACAAACATGGTGAAAATTGCATTGTGCAAGTTGTTTGCTGGTATTCTGTGTGGTTAAGTGGTGCTGCTGGTGTTGGTGGTGAAGTGAGTGAAGAAACCATCCAAACATATTTATATTCTAACTGCGCTTTCCACCAACAGATTTAACAAAGAGTTCAAACAAGTTTTACCGTACCAACCAACCTCGGGAAAAAGCCTTGGCCAACATAATCCACTGTACCTGTTTCTTTCAGCATGTTGTAAACCAGAACAGAACCCATGCAAGAACAAACATGGGGACAATTTCATTGCACAAGTTGTTGTTGGTATTCTGTGTGGTTGCATGGTGTTGGTGGTGTTGGTGGTGAAGTGAGTGGTGAAGTGAGTGGTGAAACCATCCAAACATATCCATATTCTCATTGCACTTTTCATCAACAGAATTCACAAAGAGTTCAAACAAGTTTCACCCTACCAACCAACCTCGGGAAAGCCTTCGCCAACATAACCCACTGCACGTGTTTCTTTCAGCATGTTAGAAAACAGGACAGGATCCATGCAAGAACAAACATGGTGAAAATTGCATTGTGCAAGTTGTTTGCTGGTATTCTGTGTGGTTGCGTGGTGCTGCTGGTGTTGGTGGTGAAGTGAGTGAAGAAACCATCCAAACATATTTATATTCTAACTGCACTTTCCACCACCACATTTAACAAAGAGTTCGAGCAAGTTTTACCGTACCAACCAACCTCGGGAAAGACTTGGCCAACATCATCTACTGTACGTGTTTCTGTCAGCATGCTGGAAAACAGGACAGGATCCATGCAAGAACAAATATGGTCAAAACTGCATTGGGCAAGTTGTTTGCTGGTATTCTGTGTGGTTGCGTGGTGCTGCTGGTGTTGCTCATTGGTGGTGAAGTGAATGCTGGAAAGAAACCATCCAATCATATCCAACCATATTTTAGCTGCACTGTTTAACAACCAAGATTTAGAAAAAAAACGCCTTGTACCGTACCTTTCAACCTCTCGGAAATCTTTCTCTCTATCTCTCTCACTCTTTCTCTCTCTCTCTCTATCTCTCCATCGCTATCTCGAGGGAAGTGAGCGATGATAAAACCATCGAAACCATATTCTACCTGCGCATCTTCACAACCAGAATTCACAAAAAGACAAGCAAGTTCGTACCGTGGAAACTTTGGCCACTATAATCTACTATACTTGTTGGCGACAAGTTGATAGATTTCAGTATCTGTTTCAGCAGCCAGAACAGAATCCATACAAGAAGGAAACATTGTGAAAACTACTGGTATTCTGCGTGGTGCTGCTGGTGCTGCACATTCTTCGCCACAAGAACCCAGGAAGAGAGCAAACAGTCTGAACCGTTCCAACCAACAACTTTAAGGGAAAAAAATGACGACAAAATTTGTGTTCGAAAAGCATTGTTTCCATAGCAAAGCCACCAGATAGATACGCATCTGTTTCAACAGCTAATTATTATGTCATTTCCTTCGAAAACTCACAGAATATATAATCATATAATTCGCCCTACATACTTACTATGTACTGTCATATTCTATCTGCACCCCACATTTGGCATATTCTATCTGCAAATTTCTTCCGCGGCGATCTTGTTGCCGGCGAAAATTCACTTCGATAAATCCCCAACTTTCATATTCTAACTGCTGGTCCCGGATAGTAAGGTTTGTTTGGGGTTGGTTTAGGGCTTATATGGGTTTATTTAGGCGTGGTTTCAATGTTTAAGATCTATTTAGGGTTGGTTGGTTTAGGGATTATTTAGGGTTATATAGTTTCAGTTTTATTTAAAGTATGTTTATATGTTTAGGGTTCACCTAGAGTTGCTGTAGTTTATTGGGGGGTTGGTTGAGGGTCTATTTAGGGTTCACCTAGAGTTGCTTCAGTCTCTTGGGGGGTTGGTTTAGGGTCTATTTAGGGCTGGTTTAGGGTTTATTTATGTGATGTTTCTTAGGGTTTATTTATGGGAAAGAAATACTGCGAACAGCAAAAAAGCAGGGAAAAGCAGAAAAGCGGAGAAGCAAAGAATCAAAGAAGCAGAACACAGCAGAGAAAAGCAGGAAAGCGGAGAAGCAGAGAGGCCAAAAAGCAGAAAAACAGAAAAGCAAAGAAGCACAAAAGCAGAGCACGAAAACACGGAAAAGCAGGCAAGCAGAGAAAAGCAGAGAAAGCGAAAAGCAGAGACAAGCAGAGGAAAGCAGAGAAAAGCGAAAAGCAGAGACAAGCAGAGGAAAGCAGAGAAAAGCAAAGAAAAGCAGAGAAAAGCAGAAAAGCAGAGAAACTGGGAACGAGAAATCAAAAAACCATCCCTAAACGGAAAAAACATCATAATGCCTTAAAAAAGTAGCCCCCCATTAAAAATCCAAAGCCTTGCCCCACTCCAATAACATGCTGGCAGCACCAAATAGGGAAGACATTTCAAGAATACCCAAGACAACCAACTCTAAAATCAAACATCCATTGACATTGCAGCAACAGAATGGAAAGACCTTTCAAACATACCAACATGTAGCACGCAGTAAATGGAGTATAAGTCAACCTCCCCTTAGTTGTGCTATATAATGTAGACTGAACGAAGCGACCAAAAAAGAAACATAGTTTGGTGCCAAGGGAAATTGCACCGCCCCCTATGGTTTCAATAGAATATACGGCACCCCGGACACTTCCACAGCATTAAGAAACATCCACTGCAAAAACAAAAACTTGCATCAGCAGAGATTGCTACACTATAAAAATCCGCTATGAATAAAAACCTATTATAAACATGCAGCATGCAGTACACAGATTCTACTAATATGTATGTGTAAGTCAACCTCCCCTCAATAGGCGAATGCAAACCACACCCAAAACGTGGTTTGGTGTTAAGAGAAACTTCACCACTACAAAATCGACCATGGCATCAGCAGACTTTGGACCACTGCAGCACCAAACAAGGACGGCATTTCAAGAATATCAAAGCACATTCAATAATGTTGTAAACCCAAGAATGCACTTACCATTTGGGGATGGTTTATACCAACCATTTATGGTAGTTTTGGGGACTTCCTCTGCGGTCCGGGTCTTTGTGGGAGTGCGATTATCACTATCAAATCAAAACCAATGACGCCAACAGAACGTGATCCACTAAATCTAGGCGCTCGGCCGTTGGCTGCCACTCTATGATGCAGCACCCCAACAGGCAAACCTTTCAAACATTCCAACCTGGCTGCGGACTCCAGCGGCAAGGAACTTGCTGGTGTCCTTTCCACTATAATTCTGGCATAGAAAAAGCCACAAGGCTTCCCGAACCAGCTCCACCAAAAACCTGAGTATGGCAGGCTGGCATATCTCCCAAATTTGAGGATCTGGATTCTCTACTTCGGGTGCAGTTGAAGTGACCTTTATCGGTATACGGTATAACCATGGTGAGTTCACCCCCATAAGTTGGGATATTGGGCCTGGTTGTATATCCTCTTAGTTCACTTGAACTGCACTTCCAAGTAATGTTCTGCATGTCATTTCTGCCTTGCATGTTGCTGACATGGCGAGCTTTGGGCTAAACACACCAAACATTACATCTTTAGATGGGTTTTGTTTGCATTTTGAGATAGTTGACAAGAGCCTCTATATAGACGGGAAAAAGGGCCAAATGGCACGTCCAAACCCTACAAAGAGAAACAATTTCTATCATTTTTTCATGCATGTTCTGTTCTGCATGTCATTGCTGCCTTGCATGTTACTGACATGGCGAGCCGTGCGCTAAACACACCAAACATTGTATACATCTTTGGATGGGTTTTGTTGGCATTGTGATATGGTTTACAAAGCCTCTAGACTAGCAAACGTGGTTTTATGCTGGATTCTCGATCATGATTTTCTATGATGTTTATCACGATTTTTTCACCGGATGGCAAGGTTCATGCAAAATTGACCCAGCGATGGCGCCCGTACCATCGCCACCCATGACCTCTGCCCAGTTGCACGCTTTGCCTGCTGGCAAAATACCTGATGTCTCTGGCCGAGCTGGACACACATTTTAGTCTCAAACACCTCCAGCACATGTGCCCAGATAAATTCCATCCAGTTTCAGCATCAATGGGTCCTCCAAAATTATCCAAAATCAGGAACCACGGCATCCCATTCTGGGAAATTAGGAATGGTTCCCAACCCGCCTGACTGGAATGATCACTGCATTTCTGTGTTGGTTCGCAAGGGTTACGGTTACAACCCCACCGAAGCGGAATGTATCACGAGATATGCTGAAGTTACCATCCAATTTATGTATAAGTATAAAAAATTACAGTACTCTATAATTACATATATATATATAACTTCCGGAATGGTCCTGTGAAGGATTGCAAATCTGTACATTCTTTCTCAATTGCCTGCACGCCCTCAACACTGTACCGGGCAGTCGTCTCTCCGCGGCGCCCCTCCAGTGGGACGCTTAGGGGACAATACATGGCAGGTCTTAAGTTCAATGCGTTTTGACTAGCCTTAACTCTCACCATGTCGCAAGTTGGTGCTCAAATATGTGTACATATATACATATATTATATATAGTTATTATAATATGTTCAAAAAATTCGAACCATGCCACCAATCAATATATATGACAACACATTACGGACATAAATTCAAATCTCCATTGACCACAGAATCTGTGAAATTCACTTCCGCCAAAACAAACACTGTACACCCGCAGAAACCGTCATTTTGGGATCCCAGAAACAGGGTGTTGCGGGGGATGAGAGAACATATGGGGTGTTTGCAAAATGTCGGTTCCCGAAAGCGGTCGAAATTCGCATTCTGCTTGGGGCCCGCCTTCTAGCGAATTCAGTTCTCACATGTCCTCGTTTTTTTTAGTTCAAGGTGGCTTAATAGCCTCAGCCTTTTCCCTAAAATTGTTCCTAGTTTGACTGCCAGTGCTTATTTTTTTGAAGTTGAAGAAGACTCCGGGAAAGATCAGAAACAGGTCAGAAACACCAAAAAGGCAACACTTGCATAGCATCCATCCATCCATCCATCCACCTCATCTCTTATCATTGCTACTTCTAATATTACTCTTACTACTTCTACTACTTCTACTACTTCTCCTACTACTACTACTATTACTACTACTACTACTACTTCTACTACTACTACTACTACTACTACTACCTACTACTACTACTACTACTACTAAACGAATATAATATATTTAATTTAAATATATTATAAATCTGATCAAGTCCGTATCTTATCTTGAAGAGGATGCTTGCAATAAAACCAATGTAAATGGTTGGCTGCTAGGCAAGTGCTGCCTTTTTGGTGTTTCTGACCTGTTTCTGACCTGTTTCTGACCTTTCCCGGAGTCTTCTTCCACTTCAAAAAAATAAGCACGGGCAGCCAAACTAGGAACAATTTTAGTGATCGTCAAAGTAATATCATTACTAGTACCCGAAATACTAGTACTAGTGCTACTACTAGTACTAGTACCAGTACTAGTAGTATTATTAGTAGTAGTAGTAGGAGGAGTAGTAGTAGTAGTCGTAGTAGTCGTAGTAGTCGTCGTAGTAGTAGTAGTAGGGTAGTACTAGAAGTAATAGTAGTAATAGTACTAGTAGTACTAGTAGTACTAGTAATAGTACTAGTAGTACTAGTAGTACTAGTAGTACTAGTAGTACTAGTAGTACTAGTAGTACTAGTAGTACTAGTAGTACTAGTAGTACTAGTAGTACTAGTGGAAGTAAAAGTAGTAGTATTAGTAGTACTAGTAGAAGTAATAGTACTAGTAGAAGTAATAGTACTAGTAGAAGTAGTAGTGCTAGTAGTGCTAGTAGTACTAGTCGTACTAGTAATACTAGTAGTACTAGTAGTACTAGTAGTACTAGTAGTACTAGTAGTACGAGTACTACTAGTAGTACTAGTAGTACTAGTAGTACTAGTATTACTAGTAGTACTAGTAGTACTAGTAGTATTAGTAGAAGTAGTAGTACTAGTAGCACTAGCAGTACTAGTAGTACTAGTAGTACTAGTAGTATTAGTAAAAGTAGTAGTACTAGTAGTACTAAACTTGTACTAAACTGGTGAATAACGTCATTTAGGTTGGGGGCCGCCTTACACGATAGATTAAAGAAACAAAAAAAAACAATTTCGATCTCCTGAAGACTAAAACCCTAACCGCCCTTTTTGCGCGCAACCCATATACCATCATATACCAATGTACTTCAGGAATAACCACATATAAACAGTCAAAGCATTTGACCATATAATATGTAACTTTGATAACCCATGATACATCCATGAACTCAGTATGCATCGTATACCTTTTGCACACGCAGTTCCACATGTGAAGGTGAACTGTCCTATGGATTTGGGCGGCAAAAAGCATGAGCCAAAATAAGCCAAAGTGATACAGTGAGATACGAAGCAATTTCATTGCATAGTCATAGATAGTCATAGTCATACCAACCAATTTCATTGCATAGTCTTTATGTACACATGACTTCCCCATTCAGCACCCATTATATAGGTATATTAATATGTGCATAATTGTATAATTCCAGATTACTATACCACAAATGAAATCATTATATGGGTTAGTTACTTAGTTCAATGATAGTTATACACAAACCTAATACACACACACACATATATATATATCAACCCATATATATAATTATATATATTGTTTTTTCCTTGCCATAATTAATAACAATATAAAGAACCAGAATAAAGAACCAGCAGAATCAATTACCATTAGTTACGATATCAACCATTATCAACCCACAATACCACAAAATAAACATATTGAATGACCATTCATAGATTCATATAACTCATAACCCCAACCCCAACGGCATGTCGACTTCGGCCACGTGGCATGTTAGCGATTCCTGGAGCCACGCCGGACGCCACCGCCTCAAAGAGGTAGAGGAGCGACAGGGCATCGATGCCTTTGTCCTGGGAAACCGAAGGCTGGGATCCAACATGTACTGGGTTACCCTCTGGTAAACCAACATAACTATGGAAAATCCCAATGTTTAATGGGTAAATCAGCTATAAATTGCAATTTTCAATAGCTATGTTAGCTTACCAGAGGGTAATTTAAGGAAACATGAACTAGGGAAAATGTATGAACATAGTGTGTCTTTAAAGAAAGTGTTGCTCAATGTTGCTCATGTACAGTAAGGAACATTGTCATGAACTTACAGAACACTGGTGTGTAATTAAGGAATCATGTGGTTCATTGACGGAAACGTGTGGTTTCTTCAAGGAAACATTATGTTTATTCAGGGAAAACGTGGTTTATTTACAGAAAAACATGGTTTATTTATGTTTCCAGGAAGCCAGGCGTTGGCTATGATCAAGTGTAGTATCTGAATTGCTGCACATTTGACATCTTGTAGGCATTTGTATGTTCGAGCGAGAAAAGTGCCCTCTGCCCTTCAGAGGGTTATGAGCCCAAAGTAACGGGCATTTTTGCATTCCGCAATGGAAAACCATCGCCGTTCTTCATCTGTGCCACCAAACCCATACTGGAGTGAAAGGGTTCAAGATGATCATGTGTTGGAACAAAATCGTCCTACAACCTTAGTGGCCTGTGAAGCTCCAGTTCCCCATGATGATGATTTGGATAGATCCCCTAGGTCCTTAGCACCAAGCGGTTCGGAGCAGGGAGGTCAGGAAACCAAATCTGAGCAGCAGTCTGGCGAACTTGAGAATGGCACGAGTTTTCAGACTCCAGGGGGTGAACGACGTGAACCTGATGAGAAGCCTCTGATGGGGAAGCTGGATGAGATGGAGCCTGAAGAGCTCTATGAACCTCTGGCGAATGATGCAGCTCGTGTCTCTGGGAAGCGACATGAGGGGGCTTGGAAAAGGAGAACTATGGGTGATGGTAGAAATTCGAAAGGGGATGAACATGACTCTAGTGAAAAGGAATGTCATGGGAAAGGTTTGGAAGAGGCTCTTGGGAGTCAGATGCTTCAACATTTCCAGAGTGAAACAACGAGACTTCAAATGCAGAATGACATGTTGGTGAAAGAGTTGCAGCGCATGAGAGAAGAGAGAAGTCAGCAACCTACTCTAGCTGTCCCACCTTCATGGCATGGAAATGTTAGGGGCCCTACTCCACCGCCAAGAGTTTCTCCAGCCACCAATGGAACTCAAACATGGTTGTCCCCTGAAACTTTTCGTTGCACTCCAAATGGCACGAGAGTGCCCAGCGGACCTCCACCTCCAGATCCCCCGCCCTTCCCGAAGTGGCCACCGGAGTTTGCTCACTATGACAAGGTGGAGGAACCTCCGAGGAAATTCCGAGGAGTTATGGGGGATGGTGGATTTCGACTTAGCCAGGGTGTCTGTTCACCACAGGATGCTAGGCACTTTTGGTTGGAACAAGAAGTGGCATCTCTTAGAGAGAAGTTGGAGAGTGAGGCGATGAGGTCAAGGTCTTTGCATGGTAGCTACTGGTCCAGACCTTTCCAAACGGAAGCTCAGAAAGTTAGACATGATCAAGAGTCAGTTGCATACATGCGTAGTCATGCTGAACCTGGTTTGATGGATCCAAAGCGTGAGCAGCGGAGTCATGGTGATGTTTTTCAACGTGATCGGGCTGATGTAGCATGTGTGCATGGTGCTCTGAGTCTTTCTAGCTGTGCTGGCCCAGGGCAGGCCCATGGTGATGAATGTGGTCATGCACTGTCTGGCCCAGAGCAGGCCCATGGAGATCTATATCGTCACACGCAGTCTGGCCCAGTGCAGGCCCTTGGTGATCGATTTCTTCAAGCTTGTGCTGGCCCGGAGCAGGCCCTTGGAGAACGTTGTCTTCCGGATCGGGCTCACGATGCGGCGATGCGGGAGCTTGGAGAAGTATATCAACAAGATCGGGCAGGCGATCAATGTCCGATCGGGGGAGCTCTACATCAAAGTCGAGCGCAACGGCATGAACGTGAAGTAGTTGAAGATGGTGATCTGAAGAGCATCCCTATCCAACTACCACTACTGCCGTCACCTGATGGAAGGGATGCCAGCTTGGAAGCAGGAGATTGGCTGATCCAATTGGAACCACTCATTGGGGATCTCTCCAAAAACGCAGCTGGTTGGTGGAGAAAAATCATGGATGCTACAACATCTACATACTCTTGCTGGCTGCATGCAGATCCACTTGCACGACTGAAGATCGTTGCACCAGAGAATGGCACTTTGTCATCAGGCTTTGAGCGTTTGGATCAGCGAGTCACCAGTCTTCTTTTGCAGAGCGTGCCGAAAGCCATCAAAGATGAAATCATTGCCACCAGGGAACTGTCTACTACAGCCATTTTGTTTCGAGTGATGCGCACCTTCCAGCCTGGGGGTCTACTTGAAAAATCCCGGCTACTTGAAGATCTGACCACCATCACGACGGTCAAGACAAGTCAGGATGTGGTGGCTGCTCTACGTTTGTGGAAGCGGAAGGCATCACGGGCATCGGAGCTATGTGCACAGCTTCCAGACCCTTTGCTGCTGATTCGTACGTTGGATGGCATCGCCAAGCCGGTGGTTGACAGTTCTCCCCAAGCAAGTTTTCGCATTGCCACCTTCCGCATGAACTACAGCTTGGACATTCGGCCTTCACTGGCCAATGTATGGCTCTTCTATGATTTGCTGTTGGCAGAAGCTGAGGTTGCCGTGCATTCCTCCACTACGACATCTATGACCGAAGCCAAGACATCAACAAAAGCAGCTGTGAAAGCGATGCAGAGCCCTACTACATCAAAAACAACGACTCAAGCGAGCATGTGGCCCTGCAAGTTTTGGCTCTCTGAGGGGGGATGTCGTCAAGGACAGCGATGCAGATGGCCGCATCCTTGGGAAGGTGTGGCTGATCGCACCTCAAGATGCACCAACTGCAGCTCTCTTCAACATCTTCAAGCTGATTGTCCGTTCAAAACACAGGTGAAGTCACCTGTGGGGGGAGAAGGTGACAGCAAAGAGGATGTTGGAGGTGGAGTCAAAAGCGACAAAGGAGGTGGAAAAGGGAAAGGAAAAAACAAAGGCAAATCCAAGAACGACTCCAATCAGAAAGGGGCAACAAAAGATAGCTCCCAAGGCAAGAAAGAGGATAGCATCAATCGAACGACCACTGCAGGAGCAGAGGATGAGGTGAAGGGCAAAGCTGAATCAACAGCGACATCAACTGGAGGTGGAGTTGGCGGTGACAAGAAAGCAGAAGGAGGCGGCAACGGCACGACGGAGTTGTTGCAGGAGGCCACAAAGCTCCTGAAGTCACTGCACCTGCCCAATGTCAAAATGATCAAGCTCCAGGAGATTGGAGACCCAATGAAGAGCCCTTCGGATTTGATGCTTTTGGATAGTGGCGCAACACACGCGCTGAGGAGGGCAAGTTCTTGGAGCGAATGGAACGATGCAACTACGACAGTAGTAGCTCTTGCCAAAGGCACAACTTCAAGTCTGAGATTGAAGAGCGGCACTGAGACTTTGCTCTCTACTCCCGATGATGACAGTTTTGGAAACGGCATTTTGCCGATGGGTGCACTCACCAAGCTGGGCTATGAGATCACTTGGAGCGGGGGAGATTGCAAAATGATGGGCACTAAGGGTGACAAGGTGGAAGTGACCGTCATCAATGGATGCCCTATGGTGCCACGACAATTGGGAATGGAGTTGATGGAGCACATGGAAAACAACAGCCGTGTGACAAAGGCTAGAAGTGCTCTGGTGAGAACCATTGTCCAGCATCCTGAATTGATGGAAGGCCTGTCGGACTTGGACGCTGCTACTTTGTTGCAAGTCATGTTGAAGAAGGAGTTCCCTGACCTTCCTGATACCATTTGTCAAAAGGTGGCTCCATCAGCAGTAAAGATCGACACTGAGCAGTTGCCCTGGAATAGAGGACTTCGGAGAAGGATGATGCGTGCACGTAGAGTCATTTTGCATCTCTACAGTGGCCCTGATCAAAAAACATGGCAAGTGCTTCAGGACTCTGACACAGAGTTGTGATATGCCTGGATCGAGTTCTCAACCCCAAGCTGGACATGTTGAATGACCACGTGTTTCTTTTCCTGATGCGACTTGCTGCCAATGGATCAGTGCATGCGATCTTGGGAGGTCCACCATGTAGAACGGTGTCTGCGTGTCGATATGCTGATGATGGTGGCCCGAAACCTGTGCGTAGCGAAATGGAGCCCTATGGACTCTCTACGTTGACTCCACAGCAGCGATCTTGGGTTGAAGATGATGTGGTGCTGATGTTTCGAATGAAGCTCCTCTACATGATGGCCGTGCAGAACAAGCCGTCATGGTGTGAACAGGTTCTTTTTGCTATGGAACAACCACAAGATCCCAAAGAGTATCGCTCTGAGGAGGACATTCTGAAGCACCAGTACATGAGCGTCTGGCGCACAGCTGCTTGGCGCGGGTTCCAGCACAAATACCAGTTGACGATGACGTCATTTGAACAAGGAGCCTATGGACATGTGAAACCAAAGCCCACGACTTTTGGCCACAACATCAAAGGTTTTGAGCTGCTACATGGGGGCAAAGCTCCACGTGAAAAAGACTCTCAGGTGGCATGGAAAGACCGTCCTCTTCAAGATCGAATCGCTGAGTCATCCACATGGTCGGAGTGGGCGCCTGGAGTGAAAGCAGCTTTGGTGGAAGGTTTAAGGAGAAACCTGACACCACTGACCACTGGGCGTTGTCACCATGGGGCACTGGGCTCTGCGGAGGAGGCACCTCGGGACTCCATGAGTGACAACAGTCGTCCCACTGGCATCCAGGCACAGTTATGCCCACTGTCAGAAGTTGCTCTGGCCAAATGGAAGGCTCACATACTTCACGATCATCAGCCTATGCGAAGAGATTGCAAGATCTGTGTGGAGGCAGCTGGGAAATCAAGACAGCATCGGAAGATCCAGCATCCCAGCGCTTATTGCCTATCCATGGACCTGTCCGGCAAGCTCAAACGAGGCAAAGACCAGTTTGGTCAATCTTGCGGCTATGTTCTGGTTGGATGTTACACATTCCCCACGACATTGGATGATGTTCCCCTTTGCGGTCCTGGCCAACCACCACCTGCTGAAGATGCTCCACTACCATCTCTCCACGAAGTTTTGGAGGAAGATGGAGTTGATGGTGATGTTGAGGATGGAGAACTTCCTCGTCTGGAAGTAGAGCTGGAGGAGGAACAAGGAGAGGTGGATGATCGGGCTCTGGAGCGAGCAAAAACATCGTACAACAGTTGGATGAGGTTGGTGGAACAATGTAAGCAAGTCAAAGTCAAAACCCTGACTTTTGTGGAAGTTGTTTCTTCAAGAGCAACGGGGCACATCATGGAGGGCTTGGGCAAGATCTACTCCAAAATTCGAAGCTTGGGACTTCCGGTGCTCAGACTCCACGCCGACAGGGCAAGGGAACTGACATCCAAATCAGTGCAGGCATGGTGTCACAGCCGTGACATTATTACCACCTATACAACTGGAAGTGATTGGAAGAGCAACGGGAGGGCCGAGAATGAGATCGGCATTGTCAAACGGCATGCAAAGGTCCTCATGAAAGCTCACAATGTGGCGGAGGAGTTGTGGCCGATTTTGGTCAGACATGCGGGAGAAAGGAGATTGAGATGGCAGCTGCAACAAGTTGGCTATCCAGTGCCTGAGCTTCTACCTTTCAACACCAAGGTCTTTGTGAAAAGGAAGTCCTGGAACGAACGCTATGCAGCATGGAGATGGGAACGTGCCCGTGGCTGCATCATGGGACCTGATCCTTGGTCTTCTTTGACTTCTGGTGGCTACTGCGTTCAACTGGAGGATGGCAAGTTTTTGGCGTCAACGGACGTGGTGGTGGAGAATGCGGAGTTGGGTGATCAAGCTGCTGTCGACCTAGTGGTCCAAGAAAGGTTTCATGAAGCTCGAGACCAACATTTGGCTGAAGCTCCAAGACGGCGTCTGCGTTTCAAACAAGGCGCCCCACAAATTTCCAGACTGGAGTTGGATTCCAACTCGGGGGAGGATCTGCACAAGAAGTATGGTGGTGACGTGGAAGATAAGGAAGAAGAAAAACGACTTCTTCACATGCATGGGGCAATTTCTCAACTTTTGTCTGAAGAGTGCATCCTGGTGGACGACATGAACATTGACCATGCAGCATGTGTTCCTATTCTTTCCATGTTAGCCCACCAGAAGTTGGACCTGGAGATGCATCTGCGTGTAATGGACTTGGACAAGAAGGTTCATGATGAGGCTGAGAATTTCTTAGTCACAAAAACCATAGCGACGGAGCAGGTGTACAAAGAATGGGATGAATGGAAGGAGGCGATGCTGAATGAATACAGGTCCATCGTGGAGGAAAAGAAGGCTGTGCGTCAGGTGTCAAGAGCTGAGGCGCAAAGATGGGCATGTGAGAGCGGCATCAAATATGAGGAGTTGCCTAGCAAGGTCGTGTTCACCAGGAAAATGGGTGGAAAAAGAAAGGTGAGAGCTTGCATCTGTGGCAACTATGAGGATGAAGTTGCTACTTCAACATATGCGGGCGGATGCGATGCTTCGCAAATCAGAAGCGTGGTGAGGCATGCTAGCCTCAAACAATGGGCCATTCACTGCACCGACATTAAGTGTGCCTTTTTGAACGCTGAGAGGAAGGATCGCACCAAATTGATCGGGATGTCTATCCCCCACATCTACATCAAGCTTGGAATGGCGTCTCATCAGGATATTTGGCTGGTTGACGCTGCGATGTATGGGCTGGTTACCAGTCCAAGGGACTGGGCTGATCATCGTGATAGCGTAATCCCCTCCATGGTTTGGCACAGAGATGAGGCTGAGAAGAAATGGAAGGGCAGTTTCCATCGAGCTGCTGATCAACACTTGTGGCATCTGCGTGAAACATGCTTGGAAACGGGGGAGGTGAAAAATTGTGGTATCATGGCGATCTACGTTGATGACGTCTTATTGGCTGCTGAACATCGGGTTGCAACCAGTGCCCTGGAAGCCATTGCATCGATCTGGGAGTGCTCAAAGCCTGAAGAAGCGACACTTCAACAATCGGTGACTTTTTGTGGCTTCGAGATTCAGCAGAACGACCGAGAAGATGGAGGAGGATATCGACTTCATCAACAGAGCTATGAGGCAGAGCTCACCAAAAAGTGGGAGGTTGAAGAAGTCCGACAGCAACTGGATTTCAAGTTGCCTTTGCCGGAGGAGGAAGCGGAGTTTCAAAAGTCTGAGGATCACGATTTGATCCGGAGGGCTCAAGCATGCACTGGGGCCTTGCTATGGTTGGCAACGAGAACACGACCAGAGATATCTTTGGGGGTGTCGGCCATGTCGAGGCTTTGCACTAAAGCTCCTGACATCACCATCTCCATTGGCCTGCGAATCATGGCTTATCTTCGAAGGCCTACTATGGGACTGATCTATGCGGAGCATCCTGGTCCAGCACATGGTGAAAGAGATCAACTTGGCCTTCCCCGATGTGAGCGCACCATTGAAGCGTTCTCAGATATCTCCTATGCCTCGACGAAGGGCTACAGATCGGTTCAAGGCCAAGTATATTACTATGCTGGGGCTCCTATCATGTGGAACACCAATCGACAGCCTTTTCCAACGCAATCCACAGCAGAGAGTGAACTGGTCAGTCTCTGCGAAGCACTGGTGGGGGGCCGAGCAACTGCCGCACTCATAGCTGCCATTCGTGATGAACCCGAAGAACACCTGATCAAAAGACTGTGGGGTGACAATGCAGCTGCCATCTCACTTGCCACAGGTGAGGGTCAAGGGAGTTGGAGAACCAGACATCTCCGCATTCGAGCAGCGATTCTACGGTCGGCATTGCAGCAAAAAGAATGGCATCTTGGGCATTTGAAAGGGACGGAGCTGGTTGCAGATTCGTTCACAAAGATTGTCAACGGAGCGGCATTTGAACGAGCTCTTCAAGATCTTTGCGTCAAAGCCTCTACGCAAAAACCTAGAGCTGATGGAGGTGGATGCGGGGATCAACTGGGGGCGAAAGTGGCGATGATCATCGGCGCTACGTTACTTTCAGGCGCTGCTGCAACAGATGAAGCTGAGAAAGAGGATGAATTGTCATGGTTTTGGACTATTGGTCTTATCCTGATGGGTGTGGGCGCCGTCTATGTGAGCAGTTTGCTTGCCCGAAGTGGCATCTGGCTGAGCAATAGACTTTTGGGTTCATCGGGCGATCTATGTGGTCAACAAGATCATGGACAAGCAACCCCACCGAGACTGCAGATGTTGCAATACAGCAGTAGCGAAGAAGAGACAGAGCGACCGAGGGGCCCTCGACAAGAGGACATCAATTATGCGGCGTCAGTTGATATGGGTGAGTTGCAGGCGATGGTGGATCGCAGCCGCATCATTCAGGCTGACCCACACAACAAAATGCATGGTCGAAGAGTTGAAGATTGGCAGGATTCTGAAGAGGAAGCCCCGAAGCGAGCTGTCCGAATCCATACCAGCGACCAACTTCCTCGACGAAGAAAGAAAAAGAACAAGGAGAAGAAGGTGGAGCGCACAGAGAGTGATGAAGAGCGTCTGATTGAAAGGGCACGACGTGCGATGCTGGAAACGACTGGCAATTTGTATGGAGCATCTTCGTCCATGTCGAGGGTGACACGATCGGGCTCTGGCAAAGGAGCACGTGGCTTGATCTCTTCATCTCAGGGTATGTCTTCACAGTCGGGCTCTAGCAGTGCTTCTCATCACCAGGATCGATTGGCTTCATCACAGAATATGCCATCAAGCTCGGGCCTGCAGGCTGCTGCTGTTGGATCGCGCGCATTGAATATGCCTTCGCGGTCGGGTTCTAGCATTGCGGCTGCTGCGCCTGGTGCTATGTCAAACAGTGCTCCTTCACAGTCGGGCAGCACTGGTGATCATGCGGCTTTGGCTGAGGGGGGTAGCGTCTCACAGGCGAATCCATGGAACTCTTTCCAAATGCAGTACAGTGGCAGGCATTGGGGCACAGAGAAAATGCGTGCCGAATATTGGCGCTTTGGTGCCACCGGTGTCAAGCCAAAGTAGGGCACATGCAACAATGCCTTGAGCCTACATTTTAGATCACATAGATCATTTTGTTCTTTCTTCCCGAAAGAAGGGGGAGTCCAGGAAGCCAGGCGTTGGCTATGATCAAGTGTAGTATCTGAATTGCTGCACATTTGACATCTTGTAGGCATTTGTATGTTCGAGCGAGAAAAGTGCCCTCTGCCCTTCAGAGATGTTAATCTAATTTATGTAATTCTATACACATGGGTGTTGAACAAAAATAAAGGTGTCTGGGGCAGCTTCAATCGCCGATCAACCGCGAATCAACCGCGATCCTGACTGTGTCAATCACAGGATGCTGCTGCTGTATCTGACACTATTTACCGCAGAGAATCGTCAAAACAATAAACATGGCTACATAGTATACAGACATGGCGTGAGCGATGGCCTATTCAGGCGGGTTGAGCATCGCGGATCAACTGCGAACCAATCGCGGATTTCATCGACATGTCCTTTATTCAAAATTGAATTGATCTGGTTTGTTGGACTTTGAGCTTTATTGTTCTGATTCTTCTTTGCTATTGGCTATCACTATTGAACACAGTTTCCAAACAAACCCGAATATCAGTTTGAAGAAACAACAAATAATCATATTGATTTCGAATGATTTATCCTCTTACAATAGCCGACTCTCATACAACAAATGTTTGTCCCAATCGCCGATCAATTGCGACGCAGAGTTTCACAATCGCGGATGTTGAAATATACCTGCCCTTTCATAATTCTTAGACTTGCATTCGCGATCGGCTGCTATATGATGTTTATTTAAGGAACAACATGCCAATGTAGGAAACATCCGATTTATCTAAGAAACAATCGTGTTTGTTTACGGAAACATGTCGCTTGTTGCTATCATGTTAACGTGGTTGAGAAACCCCTGGCTTCCCATTGAAAAAGGAATCTGGATATAACCACCAAATTGATTGAAGATTATCAACGCATGGTTTTTGGGGTGCCAGAAAGTGTCCTAAACACCACAAAATACAAACCTTACCCTCTGGTAATCTGTCAACATAGCTATGAAAAATACCACTGTAGGATTACGTAGGTCAAAAATATCTATAAATGCACCATTTTCTATGAAATTACGGGGTATTTGGACAACAACTAGGGGGGGAACCTGTTGGGGAAGCCACATTTTTTCCTCCAGTATGGGGAGCATCAATCTCATCCCCGCCCCACCGGCGACCCAGCATCAATGTCCGAGCTGGAATGTTCAATATTTTCGAAGATCTCGGTGGAGTGGGCGTGCTCTTTCAGTGTCTTTTCTATCGTCGCCTGAATCCATGGGAAAACCGAGCCTCTGGTAAACATAGCTTTATGGAAATCACCATGTTTTGCACGGTAGATAAACTGTAAAAACGGACTATTGGTACCATAGCTACCTATAGGTTCGTTTGAACTTGTGCTACTTATGCACACTTACAGATACTTATGCTAGTTATGTTAACTTATACCCTACTTATGCTGTAATTTAAAAACTAATACTAAACTTAAGTGTCTTTAAGTTGATCACAAGTTACTTACAAGTAATCATAAGTAGATACAAGTAGAAATAAGTAGAAATAAGTAGAACATAGTTGAAACCTTTTGTTTTTGCGAAAAGTGAGAAGGAAATCCGAACTTAGGTTTGGAGAGGTTAAATTAAATTTAGTTTTTTGTTGTATTTTTTGTGAGGCAGCATGGGCGTGCTGAATAAGCAGAAAAACTTGTTTTGGAGTTTGCCGCGCTCCACGCTCAAGAAGGAAAAGAGTTTTTTGTATCGATGGCTTCGAGCGGTCACACCGCTATACAGTTGCTAAGCCCGAGCCTGTGCACAAACCACGAATCACCCCATGACCACCAAAAGGACAAAACATACTTAGGTCCACTGCTTCAGGGCACCATCAAATTTGGAACTGCGAGTTCCTGATGTCAAGCTTTAAATAGATAACAAGGAGTATAAACAAAGATTTCAAAGAAATATCAGAGAGATAGCACAGAGATAGAATGAGATAGCATAGATAGCACAGAGATAGCAGAGAGATAGCACAGAGCAAAAACCAGTCCCCAGCACAAGGTCGCATAGATAGCACAGAGATAGCACAAGGCAAACACCAGTCCGAGCGCAAGATGGCATAGATAGCACAGAGATATCACAGAGATATAGCACAGGTCACTGATGCGCAAGGCAATATGCAAGCACGGGCAGAGATGCGGAAATAGCGCAAAGAAAAAAGAGCAGAGCTCACGGAGGTTTAGAGCAAGAGACACGCAGCAAGAGGAGAAATGATGAACAGATACGTGAGCTGCAGACGGCAACACGCCGCTGCTCACCTTCAACGGCCAGTTCTGCATGTAATGCCCGAACTGGTCTTTCAAAAACGAAAAATGCGGACACGCCGCTCAACCATCCGAACATTTCGAAAACATTGACTCATAACCCACGAAATACTTCCATCAAAAAGAAGCATTCAATCAAAAACTAAGAAAAATGAGCCAAACTTCATACCGTTTAGAAAAAACTTCAAAAAACAAATAAAACACATAACTAGGTTAAGTAGAAATAAGTAGAACACAAGTAGAACTAACTTAGAACAACTAACTTGTACAACTTAAACGCCAACAGCTTCCAGCTACTTAATTCCTACTTCACAATTAGGTTAAGTAGATGCAAGTTACTTCAAGTAACTTCAAGTAGGCTCTTACAAATAACTTACTTACTGCCTACTTGGCATCCACTTACCTTGCTTAAACTCAAGTTAAACCTTACTTACAACTTGATGCAAGTAGCACAAGTTCAAGCGAACCATTAGGTATGTTATATAGTTTACTGGAAGGTGCAGGGAAACCACGGCTTTTCCAATGAAATAAAAGACAGGAAAAGGGTGGTTTTCATGCAGATGTTCTGGGGAAAAAAGTCCTGTCGGTCGTTTTGGGATAGACAGGGATGGGATTAACTTGCTGATAACTTGGTGGCAACTTGTGATTGGTAAAAAATATAGTGAAATCACTGGCTACATGATGCTATGTGAGTGATAAAACCCATTATATATTGTAATTCTGTTTAGTTGTATATAACCTTCTAAGTGGGGTATATAATGCGGTATTAGTTACAACCAAATAATGACCCAGAAATGGACAATCTGAATAAGGAATGGGACGGCAGGTTGGAAAGCGACCCCAAAAAATAATGGAGACACATGGGGATCGTTGTTGGCTAATCATAGCTACAGGCACACGTATCATCTAGTAAAACTAGGATGTACAGTGTATATACCTGTAGACTCAAAGGTCACAAATTGATGCCCCATGCATCCCAATGCATTTTTGATGGAAAACCCCAACTCAAAACACAGTCTATTTATACAATCTATTTCATGTGACCCCCGGCTGCGTGTACCTCCTGGAAATGGCCGGCCATTGCCTGCTATCCCTGCCATAGACTGCATATTCCAGTGCCCGTGCCCAAACATCCCAAGCTTCTGACTTCTGACAACCCAACTCAAGAATTGGTCTGCTTATGTCAGCTTGAAGCTGGCTGCAAATCACGCGTGAATGCGGTGTGATCATCATGTTTTTGTCATAATGTGGCAAACTCAATAATAACCACCATCCGCAACAGAGGTTTTCTGGCATTGGGTATAGCCGCTATAGCCCTATTTGGGATATGACATGATATGAATACTTCGACAAATACATACAAATATAATCTGATCCAAGCGTCCTTCAATGCATCAAACTGTGTTCGAACAACGAGAAGTGCGTCCACAATCTCCTGTGGGAGACCCGTGCGCTGAAAAGAAGAGCGCCGAAGCCCAAACCATGAAACAACACAATCAACATCAAAACATGTCGAACTATTAGTTTATGACTATTTAGATAGATAGATAGATAGATAGATAGATAGATAGATAGATAGGTAGAGAGATAGATAGATTAGATTAGATTAGATTAGATTAGATTAGATTAGGATACATTAGGATACATTAGGATACATTAGGATAGATAGATAAGATAAGATAAGATAAGATTAGTTAAGATTAGTTAGTTAGTTAGTTAGTTAGTTAGTTAGTTAGTTAGTTAGTTAGTTAGTTAGTTAGTTAGTTAGTTAGTTAGTTAGTTAGTTAGTTACAGATAGATGGATGGATAGATAGATATGCTAGGTATGGCATGAGACACACGCACGTTTTTATTTGATAGTTTCCGGGCATTCTGATGTCTAAATTGCGGCAAAACGCTGAATCTATGCCAACAGCACGCTGGAAGTGGAACTGCTGACCGCTACTACCAAATGACACGTACAGCCGGCGCAACATCTGTGAAAAATCAAATTGATGAAACAAAACCCTGTCAAAGGTGTTCGTACTTTAAAAACTGATTTCACTTTTTGTGGGAAATGTTGATAAAAACAACGCAAGTAAACACCCAACATTCCTTGTGCAAAATAGCGGGTTACCCTTGGGTACTGGCTTTACCAAGTTTGCTTAAAGATAACTATATGGAAAACAGATCATTGATCGGGGCAAATTAGAATAATTGACTAATGAAATAAGGTCATTTGGGGATGATTCCCTTACTAACCATGATTCCAGGGTTCGGGGGAACAGTGAGGATCGCCCGCACCAGCGACCTGAGTGGGTGCCACTGGCAGTTTCTCTGTGCCGCGCAAGGATTCCCTTAGTGCGAACGTTGCGGATGGCACCTGGATATGTGTGGATATGTGTGGTGTATGTATGGTGTTACTGTAGATTGGATAATGCGTTCTTCTCTTAAAATAGTATATATTCTAATGACATAAATATTATGGACATAGCAAATTAATAGTGATGAAAACATTACAACGCCATCCTACTAAGCATTAAAACATATACATATATAACAACTGAAATTGAAGGACACTATTCCCTTTATCCACTCCAGCATGATTGAATATGTAAATATGAATATAAGAGAGAGAGAGATATATATATATATATCCCAAAAATGCGCATCTGTCTATAGATAATGTGTATCTAAAAATATCATATACACTAAGACCCCTCCTTTGGCCATTCCCAGCAAGCCTATTGAGAGAAGGCAATTATAGCCTACTGAGAGCAGTGATTTGCATGATGTGTTTTGCCGCGGTAATATTGAATTTGTCACTTCCGCATCTCAACAAGAAAGGCAGGTCATGATTACGACCCAAATGTTTGGAGGGTTCAAAAGATACCCCAATCAAGGCATGTTCCCATATCGAAGGTTCGAGTCAAACGGTTTCACACTTCACTATTTTTTCGTGTGGTTGGATGATTCGAATTTGAACGCCGAAACATGAAGCGTCACTGACGTGAATTTCCTGTGACGTGAGTAAGCCTTCAGCATGTGCTGGATTTTGGAGGATTTTCTTAGTCTAGTAAGCACTCAGTAAGCGCTCGGAAGGGCTGGGAAGCTTGAAGACAATGGAAACGCTCAGAAACATTGCATTTGTTGGTGATTTGAGGCAAAATTCTGTCAAATTCATTAATTCCGTTTCCAAACTCATCATATTGTAGACCGTCAGTCGAAGATGTTAGGGCCTTGAATCTGGCGAACCATGCAATAGGATCAGATTTTATCATATTTTATCATCATTAGAATCACTCCAAAAGATATGTACAGTTGATATTTTATTGATGGAATCTTCCTACCATCCCAATCATCACCGGATGCCCCGATGGATGCCAATGCCCAATATTTATTGTTTTTGTTGGGTTTGACCTTGAATTTCTTTGAACACATCAAAAGCTCAGTAAGGCTTACTGGTTGTTTTGAGTGCATGCTGAGGCTGAGGGCTTACTAGGCGCCTAGCGAGGTCTTACACAGGTTGAAGGGGGAAGGGGGGTGTAGGGGGAGTCTGAGTGCCCATGAAAATATTTTTTAAACAGCATAATTTTAACGAATTAATAACACACATTCATGAAGAAAGAACAACGACCAATGAAGAATGAACTGAACATAATCATGTTCATCAAGAATTCGTTGTGCAATGGACCCATTGACAGTATTATATCATATTATATCTACAAATCCAAGGCTCTCCAACCCACCGGCCGCATCTGAGAGCTCGTGTCGTACCTGCAAGCGGGGTGCATCCTGCATACATGACATCCCAACAGAATACTCTTCAGTAAACTGACGTGGGAAGACATTGAAACACGACATTGTAATATGGAACAAGAAAACTGACATAGTGAAGTGTACCAGAAGGGAACCATAGAACCGTCGTATCCTGCAAAGGTCTGAGCTGCTTGTTTCCTAGCCCCACCGTATACCACAA